CATAGCCAACTCGTCCTGGATGTCCTACAAACTGAGCATCGCTAAGTCGACTATACAATTATAGTAATTCGCTTTAAAAAGACTCAATTCATTCAGTGGCGACAAAGCTTTTATATGGTACAGGTCTTCGAAGCTGTCCTATTCCGAATCGTCAACGTCATTGCGAATGCCTCGTACTCTGTCGGGTGTAAGCGACACTATTGAAGAAAGCCGGTGGGATACCTCCAATTAAGTGCCGACCCAATGTCACACTGGGCAATCTTATATGCTGAACTCTATTCTAGCAAAGGAGTCTTTCTGGACGTCCGAGGCAGCCGGTGAAGATGTAGTACTTAAAAGCTTCTCGCCGTAGTCGCACAAACTGTAAACACATGTGAGCGATCAACTCACGTAATCTTCCTCGTCGCATACATACACACACACAACATTTGATTCGTGGTCATGCTGAATAGCTCTTACTCGATGCAGCAGTTCACCAGGGCCCTATTGGGCGGCCTCTTATCAATCTCCCCCCTCGCAGTAGAAGGCTACTCGTGCTCCTCGCCCGCCGAAGCATGCCTGATCCTCGCCTCCACGCTGCCGCCTGAAGTGTTCACGGCACCGAACACGACCGACTATCAGTCGGTTCGGGACGGCTACTGGAGCCAAACCGCCGGAGGCCTGAGCCCGGCCTGCATCACACGTCCTAGGACCACCGAGGAGGTGGCGTCCATCGTCAAAGTGCTCTCGACCTGCGGCAACGATGTCCGACTCGCCATCAAGAGCGGCGGCCACGGCTCGTCCCCGGGTTGGTCCAGCACCGACGGTGGCGTCCTCGTCGCCATGGACGCCATCAGCGAGACCCGAAACGTAGCAGACAAGGGCTACGCTCTCGTCGGCTCCGGAGCCCGCTGGGTCGACGTGTACAAGACTCTCGAACCCCAAGGCGTGACCGTCATCGGGGGCCGCTTCGCATCCATTGGCGTCGGCGGCCTGCTCCTCGGCGGCGGCATGAGCTACTTCAGCGGACTCCACGGCATGGCGTGCGACAACGTGCTCAACTACGAGGTCGTCCTCGCCGACGGCACGGTCGTCAACGCCAACCTGACCTCCGAGCCGGACCTCTTCCGCGCCCTCAAGGGCGGCGGGAACCAGTTCGGCATCGTCACGCGCTTCAGCCTCAAGACCTACCCGCACGCCAACCAGGTCTGGGCCGGCATCCTGACCTTCTCGCTCGACAAGGCCAAGGAAGTCTTTGCCGCCACGCAGGCCTTCAGCGCCAAATACGACCCCCAATCGCACATCTACCTCAGCATGGGAGGCGGCGCGAACCCGCAGCTGGACTTCCTCAACGTCTACGTCTTCTACAACGCCTCCTCGCCGCCCGCGGGCGACGCCAGCCCCTTTGCGGGCTTCTACGCCGCCAAACCCACGGCAGACAGCACAGCCACGCAGAACTTTTCCGCCCTCATCGCGTCCAACAACAATGGCAACCTACCGCTCAAGCGCTGGCTCATTGGCGGCCACACGTTTCCCAATCTCCAAGGGCAGCAGGGCGCGGATCTCTACCTGCAGCAGTGGCAGAACTTCCGCGACAAAGCCAACGCCACGGCAGCGGGCGACCAGGCGCGCATATTCTCCATGGCGCTGGTTCCCGTCCCCGCGGCCGTCACGCGCGCCGGCGACCGCGTGGCCTCTGGCGGCGGCGTCAAGAACGTGATGGGGCTCGATGCGGACGCTGGGGATGCCGCGTGGATCGACTACACGCTCGCCTGGGCGGAGGCCAAGGACGACGAGAGGATGTTCGGGTTCGTTGAGGGTATCAGCGCGGACGGGGACCGGCTGGCGACGTCGTTTGCGCCTGGGGTGAGGAGCTCGAATGCTGTTGAGGGCGACGGTGCGGTGTCTGCGGAGAAGGCGGCGTTTTATAGGACGAATCCGCGGTACATGAATTATGCGCTTTTGAATCAGCCTGTGCAGGCGAGTTATGGCGAGGAGAATGGGCGGTTTTTGCGGGAGGTGCAGAGGCGATATGATCCTACTGGGTTGTGGAGGAGGGATGGTGGGTTTCTCTGGGAGTAGGTAGCTCTTGAGCTACTGATAGCCAAGAGTTGAGGTATCAATAATAAGTACAGAAGCATAGTCCAAAGTCGAACAAACGAGCAATCATCATTTCAAAGACCGATGAGCACAGTGACGGCCTCGAGACAAGAGAGGTGGAGCTAGACCACTGAGCGGTGGGAGGGAGAAAGAGGGATCAAACCTCTGGTTTCTGCGCATTATTCACCCTAATGTGCATTGTTCTATTACTTTGGGTTCATCTTGGACCCTCAATCGTTCACTACTGGTCACATTCTCACGTTGGAGGATCCGTGGCGAATACAGAGACGACGAACGGCAATGCGTTACAGTGAGGGCTGAGTGCGGTGGTGCTTAACCTTGGAGGCTGATACCGTATAGCTAGCAAAAGATGTCTTTCTTAAAGGCGGTGATGTGGAGAACTTCGCGGGAGTTGCCAGCACCAGATATGGAAGAAGGTCCCACAATGGCCATGGGACTTCGGAAAGGCTGGTAATCTTTGCTACATTTATAGCTGCTTCTGCTGCTGATGATCCGTTGCCGTCTTCTTGGCTCGACCGAACATTCGAGCATATGCCGACAACCATGGCCGCTTACTCTAAGGGAAATTGCCATCAGTTTAAGCAGCTATTTAGCCTATGCAGCAAGTCTTTGGCAAGATTTCCGAAAGGATGATCGTCCTGTATCAGTGGCCATCTTGAGTCGCCTTTCCAAAGACCAGGAGCACGACTTACACATAGATGCGTTCCTTGCTTTCCGGCTAGCTGACGCTTTAATTCCTACGCCTTACTGTTTCCCTTCCATCACTTAGAATCGTGTTGAGAACCAGACTGAAGTGATTGCGCATGGACTTGGTGCGCAAGTAGAAGGAAATAGAAAAAGATGTGGAGAAATAACGGTGCCTCGAGAAAATCCATTGCAGTATCAATTGGGCAAGAACACGTGCAACGAAATTCACTTTCAAATACGTATCTCGTATTCGGGTCGCCTGTCAACGACATATTCCAAGCTATGGACTATCAAGGTCGCTTCAATCTCAAAGCAGAGCTACTTGCTGCCATCCTAAGGTAGTTGGTAGAGAAAAGCATCTATACTCCGGGTTTCCATCATGATTCGTGATTCGTGAATCGTACAAAGGGCCAGCTACTGGCCCCCCGCCGCCATGGTCTATGCTAGCAGTAGGCCAATCCTCTATCATTCTCTATAATCTATCAGCATCAATGGTTGGGACTCACATGATATTGGCTCTTACCCTTCACCTTGATATTAAAAGTCTCGAGTCCTCCGTGGACCATGTCGAAGGCCCAATTATGTAGCTGTCAAATGGCCGAAATTTAATGAAAAGGTGCACGCATGACAGCATCACTCCTCGGTCGGTTCAGCCTCGACATCAGAAGGCCTCGTCTCACGCGCCTTCTCAGCGCGACCCTCACCAGCCTTGACAACCCGCCGAAGGACGCTCATCTTGCGCTCGAAATCCTCGAGCAGCGGTCCGTACTCCTCGCTCACAGACTTCGCCACACCGCTATTAGAGCTCGGCAAGCTCTCTGCTCGATCCTTCTCCTTGTCACCCATCGTTGTGGCACCCTCGCTTTCGACGCCCTCAATCTTGAGCACCAGCCCGCCCTCCTTCTCGCCCTCCTGTCGAGATATGCTGGCGTCGGTCACGGCGAAGTCTGCACTGAGGCTGGCGACAGAGGACACCTTCCACTGGCCGTCTTCGCCGGGTAGCACATCGAGGAGGACGGCTCGGTTCGGGTTCGGGTTCGGGTTCTTCCCGGGCCCGGATTTGGAGGTCGAGGCCGAGGGGGTCGAGATTTGGTTCGAGGAGTGATGTGCTGCGAGGGCGGTTGTGAGGGTATCCGGGTCATCGTCTAGGAAGATGTACTTGACGGTCGGGTGATGGGTGGTGTTGGCCGTGGAGTTGGAGACGAGGGTAAAGAAACCGGCGGGATCGAGCTTGGGCAGAAGGGCTTCGTCGACGGCCTCGTTCTCAGCTGCGTCATCTGCTTCCAACGTGGGGATGATGGCCGTTGTTGTATCGGTGCCAAGCTTGTTGTCGGATGGCGAGCCGGCAAGGGCGGCCTTCTGGCCTTGTGAGAAGGACGAAGACAAAGGCGCCTGGGCGGGCTGTTCGGCCTCGGGGCGCGGGGACGTCGGGACGTCGGCCATCGTCAGACGGTATAGTTCCTCCGTGGTCGCGTGATCCTTTCGAGGGGGAATGTATTCCCAGGGTGGTCGGGGTCGGCGAGGCGGGCGGCGGGTAGTTGAGGTGTTGGTATCGACAGTGTCCCTCGCGTCGCGCTGACTGTCATCTTTTCCTGGGATAGTATGGGAGCTGCGGTCGGAGGTGGTCTCGAAGATGAGCTGCAGGGTGGCACGGGAGCTAGCTGGATAGCTGTTGGGCGCCATGGTGGAGCGGTTCCAGGCTGCTGGGGACGGCTTATCGCTATCTCCACGTGACAGCGGGGTGCCTGATCTGGCATGTGATTGCGAACCTCCAACTTTGAACATCAGTTCAACAAGTAGAGGTATAAGATCGGGAAACTGCATTGCCCTCAACAGTGATCTCGTGTCAGAGACATATATAGGAGAATATTCTACGACAATTCATGATCCTCTGACTTCTTCTTCGCATGCACAGTCAAGCTAAGGCCATGCTTTCCTCACCTCAGGCGTTGGTCTCAGGTCAATGGAACGAGACGTGATTGTTGAAAGCGTCTTTGCTTGTCAGTGCCACTAACACTATAATATTGATCAATCTTGATCCGAAGAATTCTGGACCCTAAGTGGGAATCTTTTTCTTTGGCTCGCGATGGGGCGGCTGACAGGACCAGAAAGTCTGTCCGCCAGTCCAAAAGAGCCTTCGTAAGGGTCTTGGGTATCGCTAAAAAACAGTTCGCCAAACGCCAACCATGTCAAATCATTTCCATGAGAAACCCCTAGCTCTCATTTGTCTCATTCTTTGGATCAGTGAACTCGAATTCTAGCATATGTCAGTTGGGTGTTGAGTCAAAGAGAATGTTGTCAAACATATGAGATGAAACTTACTTTGACGGCACATTGGGCATTGGCCCTTTGCTGAGTCCTGCTTGATCCACTCCAGGATGCAATGCTTTGACTTGTGTCAGCATAGGCAATACGGTGATAAGCAAAGACAAACACTTACCATATGGAAGTTGTGACCACACTTGCCGGACACTAGTGTTATTAGTTACGCAATGGTGTTATGGGAGGTTGGAAAGAACATACGGATGCTGCAGTCATCGCCAGGGTATTTGCAGGTTGGACATGTGCCGTCAAAGTGGACTTGGCAGATACCACAGACATCGTCTTCTGGGATATCCCACCGCCACGTCGCGACGGTGTTCCACCGGGTGATCTTGACCTTCATGAGGGATGTTGTTGTCGCTAGGGTTTGATATCTGGGGACTGTGATTCGTTTGTCGTCAGTGTTTTCAGACAAACACTGTTGCGAGAAAGAGCGATATGCTTGAATGAGACCCTCTGTTTCTTTGCATGAAGTGGTAATCTTGTTGTCGTGATTTTAGCCCTGGGGCTTTTGTTTGTTGGAGTTGGGAAGGCGGGACCACGGCGGACTGGCAACTGCCCATGGAAGGTGGGACTTGTGAAAACTGCGGGGCAAAAGGGCCCTGCAGCCAGTCAATCATGTCAGAACCAGATGGCGACATGGCCCAAGCTCCCCGCATTCACACCAACCGTTCCAACTTCCGGAGTACGTACAGCTAGTCGGCCACCGCACCTTGTCGCTTTTTGCTTCGTTTTCCCAGGCGGTTTGTCGCGATGCTCCACTTAAACGGAGTCACTGGTGACCGGCCGGACCCCGACCTCCTCTGTCTCCGCCCGCTTATCACTGACTGGGAACCAGTGGACGCCCCCCGAATTCCTGCGACTCTGACAATCCCTCCAAGGTAGAGGGTACCCCATTCCCATTCCATCCAATCCTTGCGGCCTGGCTACATTGCTCCTTCTCCAAAAAATCCCGTCCGACACCACCACCCATAACCACCAGTCCACCACCACCAGTAGTGACCACCGACCGCGGCGTCCAGAACAAACAACCCTCAGCAAAAGGGAAGAAAACGGTAGTGACGGCAAGCCTCATTTAGAGCTTTCCCCTCTTCCACATTACCTTCCAATTACCTTACCTCCAACCCCGCACTGAAAACCACCACATGCAATGCCTCTGCGGCTCAAGCATTTGTGGTGATTTTCCTCTTTCCCTCTGACCCTTCCGAAAGGTAAAGGGCCCAGCGTTCCGGGCTCCCGCCCACTGCCGTCGTCACCGACTAATATCGACCGACACCGCTCCTCCCGACCCGGCAATCCCTCCCAACCTGATCTGACATCACCCGCCCATACCAGAACCAGTTGATCCAGACACAGTCAAAATGGTTACCATCGCTATCCTACGACCCGCGCGCGGCACAAAGCTGTCGCAATTCACTGCGCGCTCTCTCCAGGCCACCGCCGCCTTCGCTGCCCGCCGCTCCTTCTCCTCCTACCTCGTCACCCCCAAGGAGCTCGACGAGGCCCTCAAGAAGAATCCCCCCTCCAAGATTAGCCCCGAACCGCGCACCATTCCCCTTTGCGCCTCCTGGTTCCTTCCCAACGATGGCCGCACCGGCATTGAGGTCTACCGTCAACAGCGGATTCCCAAGGCCCGTTTCTTCGACCTCGACAAGGTCATTGACCGCCGTAGCGAGTACCCCCATATGCTGCCTTCCGCCAAGGACTTTGCAGCGGCCATGAGCGAGCTGGGCATCCGCAAGGAGGACACCGTCGTCGTCTACGACACCAAGGAGCTGGGCATCTTCAGCGCCCCGCGCGTCGGCTGGACCCTCAAGATCTTTGGCCATCCCAAGGTCCACGTACTGAACAACTTCAAGCTCTGGGTCGAGCAAGGTCTTCCTACCGAGTCTGGCGAGCTCTATAATGTCGAGTGCTGTACCTACCCCATCCCCAAGTTGGATGAGGGTAAGGTCGCTGAGTTCGAGGAGGTGCGCGAGATTGCGCTGGACCACAACAAGGAGGGCGCAGAGGGTGTACAGATCCTTGATGCGCGGTCTCCCGGCCGTTTCGCGGGCACCGATCCGGAACCCAGGCCTGGTCTGTCGTCTGGCCACATGCCCGGCTCCATTAACATCCCGATGACCGCTGTCCTGGATCCCGAGACCAAGACGTTCTATCCCGCAGAGAAGCTCAAGCAGATTTTCCAGGAGAAGGGTGTCAACCCTGAGAAACCCATCGTCTCGAGCTGCGGAACCGGCGTAACTGCCTGTGTCATTGAGACCGCTCTCGAGGAGGCTGGATGGGGCTCTCCTGAGACGCGCAGAGTCTACGATGGAAGCTGGACGTAAGTTCTATTAATTCTTACCAATACCTGGACTTTTGATAAGCTGACATGTTTCATAGTGAATGGGCACAGCGGGTCAAGCCTTCTGACTCACTCATCAGGAAGAACGAGTAAGAGATGGAGCGAGAGAGTGCAGCGTCGAGTTGCGTCTAGTTGCGATACCCTCACTACCCCACTTCTGGTTTTCTCTGGTTTTCATGTACGATATCCGGCACATCACAGCTTTGGAGTTTGCATTGCGCATGGGAGAGGTTCGTCAGCCTTTTGGTCGTTTTGGGGAGGGACGCAGGTGGCTGGTGTACATAGCAGGCCACGCTAATGGATCACGATTATGGACAATTTGTGTGTTTGGATGCCTTGCAGTGCGCATATGAGTGAGGAGAGAGAATGTGTGTCGACAAGGTACGTTCCGGTACTATGGGTATGTTCATAACTGACAAAGCTGCAATTTCTCTCCAACTTGATGCCCGAGAACATCCTACCCAATTGAAGTGCGAGACCACCCAAACACAGTGAGCTTGCACGCGTGACACACTGTACTCTAACTCGGTGTGGTTCGGTGAGCAAACCACCTAGGTGGAGACCCCCACCCTTCACCTTGGATTCCTGCCTCGAAGCTCAGGCCACCCTCTTAGGGCTCGCCAAACCCGTCCAATGAGCCCGCCTTGAGCACAATCGCAAAATATTCAGCCGGCCCTGACAGCCACCACAGACCCCCGCAAAAAAAAGTTGTACCCGAATCGCGAAATAACTTCCTCCCCCTTCGAAACACCACGCAACCGGACTAACCGCAGCAGCAGTCTCTTTCACTCGCGCGCTCAACACACCTTACCCGACGACACAAAATGGCTGACCGTGGTGCAAGCGCCCCCGCCCGTGGAGGTGGTGGTTTCGGAGCTCGTGGCGGTGACCGTGGCCGTGGACGTGGCCGTGGTCGCGGACGTCGCGGCGGCAAGAGCGAGGAGAAGGAGTGGCAGCCCGTCACCAAGCTCGGTCGTCTCGTGAAGGCCGGCAAGATCAGCTCCATGGAGGAGATCTACCTTCACTCCCTGCCCATCAAGGAGTACCAGATTGTCGACTTCTTCCTGCCCAAGCTCAAGGATGAGGTCATGAAGGTGCGCACACACAACACTCCAATTCGACCGGGAACCGAGATCGATTTTCGCAGACGACGACGCAACAATCGCCAATGCAGATGAAGATTTGGGTTCTCGGGCGTCATTTGGGATATCAATGCTGGTTTTTGGAGAGGGAGGGAAATGCTAATTTGTGGTTTCTTTTCCCCAATTGCAGATCAAGCCCGTCCAGAAGCAGACCCGTGCCGGTCAGCGCACCCGTTTCAAGGCCATCGTCCTTATCGGTGACTCTGAGGGACACGTTGGTCTCGGAATCAAGACCTCCAAGGAAGTCGCTACCGCTATTCGCGCTGCCATCATCATCGCCAAGCTTAGCGTCATCCCCGTCCGTCGCGGTTACTGGGGAACCAACCTCGGTGCCCCCCACTCCCTGCCCACCAAGGAGTCTGGAAAGTGCGGTTCCGTCACCGTCCGTGTATGTACACCCCGAAATCGACTCTGCGTATAAAACGAAGATGGGAAGACTGACTAGATGGAATCCTACAGCTCATTCCCGCCCCCCGCGGTACCGGCCTTGTCGCCTCCCCCGCCGTCAAGCGTCTCCTCCAGCTCGCTGGTGTCGAGGACGCCTACACCTCCTCCGCCGGTTCCACCAAGACCCTCGAGAACACCCTCAAGGCCACCTTCACCGCCGTCTCCAACACCTACGGCTTCCTTACCCCCAACCTGTGGAAGGAGACCAAGCTCATCAGATCGCCTCTCGAGGAGTACGCGGACACCCTGCGTGAGGGCAAGAAGTACTAGAGGATGTGCGAATGATGGGGAGAACGTCGGCGGCGAGGAGATGAGAAGAACAAGTGTCGGCTTCGGGATTTCTTCATGGAGTTGCGTGTGTTACACTGCATCGTTGGTTGGCCAGGGCATGACATTAAGGCTAAGGGCAAACTAGCTCCGGATCTGAAAATAAAGATCAAACATTGAATGCAGCCGACGGGTTTTTCAAAAAATAAGTACGGGCATGAATTTTACGATACCTTCCAGACAACGTCCCCTCGGCCGAGTGATATCATGTTGAAGCGCCATTCTGCGGAGCAATTTGGGATTCGAAAAGGATGGGTCGAAGTAATGATTCGGCAGCAGCATCGCCGGCAACTAAACGTTTCAAAAATCCTTGATCAAGCGACATAGGGACGTCGACGGGCTACGGGACAGCGCATTAGATATTGACCATCATTCTACCTACTGCGCTGATACTTGGAGAGTTTCTCGACATACACCTACTTGGTCATGTTTTCTATCCTTGAGGATGTACGGCAAAATATAAGTTCTCGAGACAGAAGGTACAAGCCATACTAGGAGGGAAGGTAACGATAATCTGGCTCTGTTTATAGATCTAGGCCCTGCGTACATAATGCAGCATACGAACACTCGCTCGATACCTGATTCACATTGACACCACCCAATCACAAAGCGCACAGTTGAAACGTGCACATTTCAATGAAGTACGAGGGATATGTTCATGATAACCCGGATCTAAAAGTACGAAGCACACGTAACCAACTCCCGCCCAAAACGTCTCAAGCAAACAACGAACAAGAGATACCCTCTCGTCTTAACCCAACCAACGAGGCCTACTTCTCCGAATCGCTACCCTCCTGAGCCGCGACGTTAAATCGCACTCGTCTCTGCCGCGGTGGATGCCGTGGTGGGAACAGCGACTGCCGACCCGTCGCCGGCGTCGGCTGAGTTTCCTCCGCACTAGCCCCACCCGCTGCCGACGACGTCCTTCGCCCCGAGGGGACCCAGGCCGGAACGCTTCTCGGCACCAGGTCCGGATCAATTTCTATCAATTCAGGGGTTTCAGCGCCGGGCGTCTGGATCGCCTCACGACTGATCCACCCCGTTCCGCGAGGCGCAATGCCGTCGTTGGGAAATAGCTCTTCTGTGAGACAGAAGAATTAGTAAATCAAATCACACTTATGTGTCGGTGATGAGTGTGGGCGCAATTCGGAGGACTCACCATTAATCATCGCCTCCGCACGCCTCTCAAGATCCCGCCTCTGCGACTCGGTATCGCCACCCCAGTACTCCGTCACACCAGGGAAAAACTCGGTCCTCCGATCGTCGCCAACATGATACGGCACAGAAAGCATCTGCGCTATCTGCGTCTGCCGAATCTCGTCCGCAGTAGGCCTCACGCTCTCCGCGAGCCTCGCCATCTTCGTCCGCAGCTCGTCGGCCTCGGCCTGCTTCCGCAACCCCTCGTCCGTCACGCTCCGCCTGATCTCTTCCTGCCGCTCTCTGCTCTGCAGATGCACCGGCCACCGGTTCATCGAAAAGAACTGCCGCTTCTTCTTACCGCACACGCCGGGAGACGCCCAGTCCCAGATCCGCTCGCGGTGCAGCGTCATGAAGCGCTTGTCGTCCCGGCGCCTGTGGAACCACCGCGGCCGACTGGGCCACAGCGTCCCGTGGCCCCGCGAGAGCTCGTCTATGATGCCCCGCCGGACGACCTCGCGCGCTTCTTCCTCCGTCATCTCCTCCGTCCACGTCTGCGGCTCGCCTGCCTTTACGACGCTCTTGTACGACACCCGCGGCGTGACCGTGTCCTCCTCGCCGGGCCTGTCCCGCGAGAAGCTGCTGCCCCACATGCCCAGGACGTCCTGCAGCTGCGTCTTGCGGTACTCCCAGTCGTTGCCGTGATTGAGGCGCTGGTTGATGATGGGGAGGTTCACGACACACCTCGCGAGCTCGACGCCGAGGCGGTAGCCGAGGGTCCAGAGGAGCTCCTTTGTCAGCGTGCGCGTCAGGTTGATCTCGTCCAACTTTGCGAAAGCCGAGGGCCATTCCCACGTGACGAATGGGTTTGGAACGTTGAGGCGGTGGTACAAGAGCTTGTTCTGGTCCGTTTCTTGGGCCCAGTCGGTGCCGATGTCCCAGTTCATGCGGTGTTCTGGGTGCCAGTCGTTTTTGGGTCGGCTTATGGAGACCTCGCCAGTTTCTGAGCGTTCGTAGCTGAGAGGTTTCGTTTTGTTAGTATCATTTCTTTTACACTTTCATCAGATGAGGAACGGATTTACGTGAGTCTTCCATATTCGGCCAGCACCTTGCTGTACTTATTCACCAAATCATCAGTGAAGAAATAGTCGCCCGTTCGAATCCCGTCGTTAAGGGCACCGGCAACCCGCGGCAGCGTGTTCTTGCGATCCTGCCCCGCAAAGAGACACACCTGGCTCGGCTGGTTCAGCAGCGCCTGCATCCGCGCGACAAACACGTCAAAGTCGCGCCCCAGCTTCGGGAGCACCGACTGCTGGGCCTTGACCGTCGTGGACGGCCCGCAGACAAACTTTAGCCAATCCACCTCCCATGGTTTGAGGGGGCGACAGTGTCCGCCGTTCTTCTCCCGGTGGGCAGCCAGGACCTCCTCCACGTCCCACGAGGGCGCCCCCTTGAGCCCGTACTCGATGTTCTTGATCACGCCCTCGAGCATCTCCCGCGGATCTTTATTGTACGCACTCGTGAGTTTCTCGCGGAGGATGCGCAGGTGATGAAAGTCGATGAGCACCCTCCTCTCGCTCTTCCTCAAGAAATGCCAGGGTGTGACGGGACCGTACAGCTGCTCGGGGAGCCTCACCGTGTCCTTGTCGACCCCCATGTCCTCCAGCATCTTCTCGTTACTACGCACCGTTTTCTTCCACAATGTATACGCGCGGTCACGATGGGCAGCCTGCATCTGGTTATGCCAGTACGTGATACCGAGCGGGTCAAGCTTGGTCCCCGGCGGCGGCGCCTTGACAGAGTGAGGCTTGTACACGATATCCCGCCTCGCATCAGCCAGCGCAGCCGCCTTCTCCCTCTTGGTCAGCGGCAGCACCAATTTCCGAAAGGGACTCGCGAGCGCCACGTTCTCCTCGCTGTTGAAATGCGAGAGACACTGCTGCAGCGCCGCGCGCTTTGCTCCGCGAAAACGGGCGAAGCGCTGCTGCGTCTCGCCCTCGGGGTAGAACTTCTGCAACTTGCGCGTCTTGCCCTCGTCCTCGTACGTGTTGACCTCGCCGCCGACGTACTCGTCCATGAGGAGGTAAAAGTTGGCCTCGCCGTGGAGCTCGTCCGAGGTCGCCTCGGGCCCTCCCGTCATGCATTTTTCGAACCACTCGTCTTCCGTGAGCGCCATGTTGAAGTCTGGCTCGTACCCGAACCTCTGCCCGCGCTCTCCCGAGCCGGGCGCCTCGTCGCTGTTCGGGTCCGCGGCCCACACGAGGTTCCCGTCCTCGCGGAACCACTTGAGAAATGCCATTCGTAGCAGCGGTCCGGGGATCTGGTAGTCGACGTCCTGGACGGACTCGGGCACGCGGTGTAGGAGGTAACGAGGCCGCACGGGATCCCTAGCCCTCTTCTCGACGACGATGTCGCGCCCGTCGAGTAAGGGTGGCAGTCGCGTGCTGACGGCGCCCATTTTGGGGAAATCGACGACGAGCTTCTTCGTGCCGTAGTGGTGCTCTTCGAACAGCTTGTGGGTATGCAGCATGCTGATCGCCTCGCGGAGGTCGACGTACCAGTCCTTTTTGGTGACGCCGTCCATGCGGATGCAGTACTGCAAGAACTCGCCAATCTCGGCACACTTGCGCTTCCAGTCGAGGGTGCGGTCAGTGTCCTCGTCCGCGAGGAAGTTTTTGATGCGGACGAGCTGGAGTTTGGGTGCGGGGACGCGCCAGCCCTTGTAGTCGATCATGCGCAGGTCCTCTTCTGTGGTGGCGGGGTCTTGTTTGAACCAGTTGATGAGCCACTGGCTGTCGTAGGGTCCGCTGCGGAGGTCTTCAGAGATCTCGCCGTCGTTTCTGGTGGTAGTGGTAGCAGCAGCATCTGCATCTTCGGGTTCGGGGTCGACCATATCGACGTCGGATGCCTCTGATGCGGTGCTGGGCGATGCGGATTCGGAAACATAGATTTCTCTAACGGGAGTGAAGATACGAGGGGGTTGTGTCGATGGAGGGGCGAGGGCAGAGTTTCTCAAGAGACGACTGCCGCGTCCAGATCGGCTTGCGGGTAAACGATGCCCAGTGGATGATGATGTGTCGGCGACGGTGATATAGGGGGCAGTCGTATCATCGCGCGGAGGCGTTGCCCTGGTGTCCAAAACGAAAGGGGATTTCACAGGACCTTGAGGCTTTGGAGGCGACTCCGTAAATCCCGAGAAGCGAACAGAAGCTCGTCCATCTTCACTGCCTCTAGGCAGTCTTTCGGTGGTAGTCGGACGGCTCGTCTTTGGTGGCTGACCTCTCTACGTCAGCTTAATTCTCAAGGGCAACTCCTTGGGTCTATCTGACTTACACGTAACCGTGAACCTTTTCGGCCCTTGTCTTTTTGACTGCTGCGAGAGCCCTCGCCTCGAGTTGATGTTACTGTCTTTAATTTAGACTTTGTCCGAGTCCGACTAGTCGTGGCCAAGGCAGCTAACGCACTCGGGGGCATCCTTTCACCCTCAGAATCATCTCTTTCCCATTCCTGAGCTGAGTCATCCTCGTTATCTTCCTCCTCGTCTTCCTCTTCATCATCGTCATCGTCTGGTGGAGAGTTCCGTTCAGGATGCTTGTACTTCGTCGACCTCCTGATGAAATGGTTGCTGCTGTAATAGGGGTCAAGGGTCTGCGGCCACTTCCAGTTTCCGGGGTTATCGCGGGCACGCCACTCCGTCGTAAAGGGGTTCCTGGGTGCCTCTCCGCCCTCGGCAGGGGCTCGTGGCACTGTCTCAGGCTGGACCGGCTCTTCGTCGACGAGGAGGCTCGACTGACCTGCGTACGTCGAAGGACCGTACGTACCTTCGGGTCCGTCCAGACACCCAGTGGTATCCGGGCCGCCGGTGCCCTCTCTCTCCTCTCCCACACCATAAGCAGGACGGCCTTGGCCTTCCACCAACCCAGATTCGGTCCTCATCTTTGCTGCGACGGCTTCGATCTCGGCCCGGGAGAAGCTGGTGCCCTCGAAGCCCAGGACCTTGGCCCACCTTTCTAGATCGTCGCCGCCTTCGACAAGCTTCCTGAGCATGATATCTCTCTTCCGGTTTTCCAAACTCCGACCGTCGTCTTCGGCTGCCTTGGCTTGCGCGGCGAGATCCTCGACGCCCTCTTCTTGGGTCACCCCCCAACGAGCGTCTCCGAGGTCCGCATCTTGAAGCCACTCGTACCGTTGACCGTACAGACTTGCCATGAGCCCGCGGAAGTCCGCATTACTATGAAGAATCGCATCGATCTTGCGTGTGGAGATGAGTGTCTCTATGTGTTCGAAGAGGCGATGGGGTTCTGGGTTATCGAGTGCGAGACGTGTAGCTTCCCACGTATCGGAAGGGAACCTGTGATATTGCCTTCTGACCATATCGGCCAGTTCAGCTTCAGTACGGTTAGACTGTGGACATCACGATTTTGGCTTAAGGTGACACTCACGCATCCTTGCTTGCGCCATCCTGGCTGCTGTTGCTTGTGCTCAGAGGTCTCTTGTTAGACTTGCGAGATCAACAACGGTAAAGGCAAGGGAACAACCCAGGATGGGGAGAGAACAGAACGCCAGACTTGAGAGGGAAAAGCCCAAGCTCCCAGGTAAATAGGAGCTGTGACGCTGCAGGCAACTGTTTGAGAAGAATGGTCACCTTGCGCAAGATAGGGACATTGGGGAGCAAAACCTGACAAAAGGAACGGGGAAGTTTGAGAAAGCAGAAAGTTGAAGGGAACTCGAGTTTCCGCCCGACTTGCGAAACACTTCCATTTTACGATTTTCAAAGAGCCAGATAGATTCTCTCAATGACTTAATCTGTCGCATTATGGTCAATGTAAAGAGCGCATCACAAGGAGGCATTGCGGTCTTTCCATGCGACCACAAAGACCTCCAACAACGGCGACAACAAAGAAAGGTAGCTGACAGAGGGAGGAAAGGGATAGATGGTCAATGTTTCAACAATGCATTCGGGACGCGATATTGCATTGCCTGTTCCGGTCGTGCTCTCTCGCTAGAATAGCTTTTCTATTTGCGACAGAGCACACGGTCTGTTTCTTTGACGTGTGGTTTTGTGATTGTCGCAACAGCAGCTACCTGATGTTGGCGCGAAGCCGCGAACCCCAGCAACTATGACATGAGGTTTGAGACCAGACATTCGGATGTTGACAGGTCGCATGTACTAAGGATCGAACAGGAGAAACCTTGGTTCTCTCCTGTCATCTCCAAGCAATGGGCTTCCAGCAAAAGTAGAAAAGGCTTTCGCAGACTTCTGCAAGTAAATCAATGCAGCAAAGACTCGTTCCTTCTTCTGCCATAGGAACTTTCCCTTCACGGCAAGAACAATGTCTCGTCAGCAGAGTTCCGATGATTCTAGCTCCGACAGCATGGATGCTCACATTCGCGACTCGCCTGTTGCCGTTTCGCAATTCCCGTCACAGCCAGAGTCTAACTCAGCCCATGTCGAAGATGGCAGCCGCGAAGAGGCTGACGTGTGCAGCCCAGAAGAAGCTGCCCGTCGTCTAGAAGTTGAAGCTCACGAACGAGAGCTCGACGAGCAAATTCGCATAGAGATAGAGGCTCAAGAACGCGAGGCTCTATGGCGTCGCCGAATGCAAGCCGAGAGTCCCAGCAACAATCCCCAAACTTCTCAGGCATCATCCCAAACACCACCTCTCGTCATCGGCGCACCGCTGGGCAAGAATCTCACCGTCATAGAAGCCGCGCGTCGCCTCGTCGCTCAATGGGAAGCAATCCACGAGTCAACCCTCTCATCGACCCCAGACGCTGCCGGCCCCATCCTCAAAGAACTAATACAAGCCCGCGCCCAACTCGATGCTCTCACAGCCCACCAACGACAGCATCACGGAGAAGAAGACACACACGTCCCTCTCCTAGACAAAGACCCAGTAACGACACCCCTCAACTCGCTCCAAGCACACAAGGACCAAGCCATCGCCTCCAGAATCAAGTTCCTCACAGACTCCCTCCAAGACTCCTCCTATCCCCCGGAGCACGCCAACATCACCGCCGCAATCTCCCTCTACCGCGCCTCCCGCATCCCATACTCTGCCAACTGGACCCTCATCTACGCGGGCCACCTCGTCGACTTTGCGCCGACCTACGCCTCCTTCACCGCAGACCGCGCCACCCGCCTGGCACGCTACAGCCGCCTTCACGGCGAAGGATGGCTCTGGATCGAGCCGCCTCTGGCCCGTGACGCCGGCGGCGGCCCCTCGCCCTTCTTCTCCGCGCGCAAGAGTACTTTTCTCCCAGAGACGGACTCGACATACGACATGGGCCACTACAGCGTCACCATGTCGTTCCGCAGGATGAAGTCCCTCGCGTACTGCGGCGCGGAGCCGCTACTGAGAAGCATGGCCGTGTCCAAGAAAAGGAAGCACGAGGAGTGCAACGACAACGACGAGGAGGCGGCAATGGCAAACTTGAAAGACTGGCCAGTCGTCGCCGAGAACGAAGAATACGACGACCTCGACGCAGCTTCAGACTCGGACTTGCCTTGCTTCCCTCCTCGCTATACCAGAAATCCCAAATCGCGCACACCATCATCTTCCTCTCGAGCAGGTATAAAACCCCCATCCGCCCTCCGCCGAAACCGCCCGTCGCGCCACCCACACATGGCCCGCGACCCCTCGGCGCCAACCCTCCACTTCCGCACCCTCCTCGACAGCGGCGCGACGCTGCCGATGCTCTACAACCGCGACGCACGCGCCCTGGGCATCGAGCGCGGCTCCTACGCCGCCGTCTCCCGCATCTCGATCGAGACGGCCTCGGACACGGTGGCGACATGGCTGTATGAGATGGAAGTCGCCGTCGTTGACACGGTCACGTGCGAGCCCCTCGTCTCGGCGTCGTCGCCCGTCTGGCCGGCGGAGGAGCCCATGCTCGGCGGGATCACGCTCGTCATGGTACGCGGCTCACCCAAAGCTGGAAATGGTTCTTTCGCGTCGCCTCGTGGAGGCACGGACGCTGTGGCCAAGACGACGGCGGAGGCTGGGACGACGTTTCTTGAAAAGGCGACGAGTCTGGTTGATATGGCCGAGGGCCGCGATTACGGCCGGCTTTCCGGGCTTTTGCCGTTCAAGGTGTGTTATGTGCAGAGCACACCTGGGCTCCGGACTATCTGGATGGGCGAGGACCGGTGTGATGTGCTGGGTGCGCATCGGATGCCCGGCCAGATGCGGTGGGCGCCGGGAACGGGGAAGGTGTGTGACCCGGGTCATCCAAGGGAAGTGTGGAAGACAGTCTGTCGAGATGATGGCGGGAGGCCTGCGGTGCTTCGTATGGAACATGAAAAGGCGGCGGCGATCTCTGGTTATGGGGAGAAAGGGGCAAGCTTGGTTGATGTTGAGGAGAAGGGATGGAAGGGACGGAGTGAGGTCACAGTCACGGATGAGAATAGCGTCAGGGCGAGGCATGTCATTGAGCCTAGGACATTGGATTCGCAGCGAGAGAAGCAACGCAAGAAAGTTAGATTATTTCAGTAGGTGGTTAAAGAACAGCGCCATTATTCTGTGACCAAGAACCGACGCAGAACGCATCGAACAAGATGAGAGTTTCAAACGTCAAAAGAAAGCACGGGATGCTATAGTCAGTCTTCAGTCCCAATGCCAAAAGAGATACAAACAGTATCAAGACGACTACAACACTGCAGAGCCTCCCGTCGACCCTGCAATTTGGTTCGATTTAGCAACACCGAGCTCTTCGCAACCAGGCTCGTCAGGTTCGTCAGGTCATAGATCCTCACAATCCGGATCTTCGACGGGACAGTGAACGATGGATCAGATAGATGCTTATGGAGTATTAAATACTGAGTAATTGCTTTATGCCCACATGCCCTTCACTTCCCTCATGACAGTGCGTGCCAACTCTCTTTTCCCAAACCTTTTGCTTTCATCAAAAGACTTGGATGATTCCAGCCTCCCAAGGTAATGGCGTAAAAACATCCTACACCCGAGGAAGAAAAAGTCCACATTGAACTTCCATAAATAACACAGTTTGCGTGGATGCCCGTACTCTGTACCACGTCCGCAATCTGCTGATACCGATAGCATAAACTACTCTTCATACGCTCATATATCCATCATTACACATCGTCAACATCAACCAGCGGTGAAGCTGTCAGGACTCAGAAAAGGGGGGGGGGGGGGGTCCGCAAATCATTACCCCGAAAGCATTGTCGAGTGTCGACAACCCCCCTGATGCTGTTCTCATGCAAATCTCGGCAGCATCCGCCCTCAAGGGTCCCCGAATAGGTATTCCGTCATCTCGCCTCGCCCTGTTGCTGCACGGGGTTCGATTGTGACTCTGTGAGTTCCGCGTGTCATGAACAAAGTGGAAACGCAATGCCAAAAAATGACAAGTCTATCGATAATTCGATGTGTCCGTAAGGCAAAGAAAAGAAAACGAGGCTTCTGCGTGGCGGTCAAGAAATCAAGGGGACGGATGTTCCAGGGATATACGAATAGAGTTGGCAAAACGTGACTAGCCAGGCACTCGCTTCGTGTCATCTCTGCTATCAATAGCATCGATAATATCCGTAATCCACCGACAAACAGACGCAGTAAGCAGTGAAAGAAAGAAAAAAAACACTTTCTGCCATGCCTCCTTGCATCAACAAAGAACCAATTGCTTTTTGGGGCCGTCCGGCTGCCTTAGGCCTCTTGCTCGTGCGTGCGGGTGGCTGTTCGGAACGGGATTCCTAGTATAGGGCGACTCGGAAGGGGGAACGGAGATGACAGCCCGATTCGAGTCCGACGTTCTCTTTCTTTCGAGGCGGCGGGCTGGGCTTCGACATGGGAATATCGATGCCTCTGCGGCCTGCCCATCGCGATCTGCCGGGGGGGAGTACAGCAACGCCAACGGCCGAATTGAAAGGCGGCCTCGAAGGCTCGATTCGCTCGAAGCTCCCCCCAAGAAACCCACTTGCACACTGTTGGTCGAATACGAATCGCCCGCCTTGCTTGCTCCTGAGTCGTTCCCCGGTCTAGTGATCACAGAAAATCGAACAATGACTGAATAAGCCAGACGGACTCCAATCCACTCGAGTCCTGTCGCTCCGCCCAATTTCCCCAGTATCAGTAAATGCGTCTTTTGGTCTCTGGACCAGCCCGCCAACGCCGAAGTAACGAGCTGGAAGCCTAGGAACCTCACTCGCCGAGACCCGGCCACCCAAAGTATCGCGCAATCGGAGAATTAGGGCGGAGTCTTTTCCCCCAAGGGCCCCAGACGCAGGAGATTGTAGGCCGCGAAGAGGGATTGACGCGATTTGAGCTAGGCCTGGGGCTGGTTCTGAGTTCATGGCCCAGTGGCCAATAAGCGGCCTTGGACAATGCATTTCGCACCCGTCCCAGGCGTCCCTATGGGCGTATTTCCCAAACAACCAGGCATGCCGTTCGCGCGAAATCTTGTTTTGCGTGCAGGCTTACGGTGGGGGAGCCAGACGATGATGC